CCACAGCATTTCAATGGGGTTGAGGTCAGGACTCTGACTGGGCCTCTCCAGAAGGCGTATTCTGTGCTGTTGCAGCCATTGTTTTGTTGAATTACTTGTATGCTTTGGGTCATTGTCCTGTTGCATCACCCATCCTCTGCGGAGCTTCAGTTGGCGGACAGATAGTCGTACGTTTTCCTGCAAAATGTCTTGATAAACTCTGGAATTCATTTTCCCATCAATGACAACAATCCATCCAGGCCCTGAGGCAGCAAAGCAGCCCCAAACCATGATGTTCCCTCAGTGGGGATGAGGTTTTGATGTTGGTGTGCTGTGCCTTTTTTTCTCCACACATAGTGTTGTGTGTTCTTCCCAAACAACTCAATCTTGGTTTCATCTGTCCACAGTATATTTTGCCAGTAGTAGTGCTGTGGAACATCCAGGTGCTCTTTTGCAAACTTCAAACGTGCTGCAATATTCTTTTTGGACAGCAATGGCTTCCTCCGTGGTGTCCTCCCATGTACTCCATTCTTGTTTAATGTTTTCCTTATTGTAGATGTGTCAACAAAAATGTTAGCATATGCCAGAGATTTCTGTAGGTCTTTAGCTGACACTCTGGGATTCTTCTTTACCTCATGCAGCATTCTGCGCTGTGCTCTTGCAGTCATTTTTACAGGACGACCACGCCTAGGGAGAGTAGCAACAGTGCTAAACTTTCTCCATTTGTAGACAGTCTGTCTTACCGTGGACACATGAACATCAAGACTTTTGGAGATACTTTTGTAACCCTTTCCAGCTTCATGCAAGTCAACAATTCTTGATCGTAGGTCTTCTGAGAGCTCTTTTCTGCGAGGCATGGTTCACATCAGACAGGGCTTCTTGAAACCAGTAAACCCAAAACAGGTGTGTGTTTTTTAAGGGCAGCACAGCTGTCAGCAACACATCCAATATCATCACACTGATTGGAGTCAAGGTTGGCTCACTCCTGGCTCCAATTAGCTCTGGGAGAAGTCATTAAGCTAGGGCCTCACATACTTTTTCCTCCCTGCACTGTGAATGTTTACATGTTATGTGCAATTAAAACTCCACGTAATCCCAAGGGGTTCACATACTTTTTCTTGCTACTGTATATATGAACAATAGCAGAATATGGTCCTAGGAAAAAATAACAGCTTTGACATCCTCTCCTCTCTTCCTCTCTACAATATCTGAGATAGAAATGTATAAGGACTGCAATAGACATAGATTCTCATGTTGTGTGCTCAAATGATTGTGCCATTAACCTTCACCTGCCTACTAGTGTAACATCCCTTGTAAAGTAACAGGTAAAGTCACAGCTTTGACCAACTGCACAATCCCCCTGGTTTACTGCATGAACATCAGGGTTGTGCTTAGGCCCCTAAACATCCACTGGGCTCTAGACTTGGTTGCCACATAATATTCATATGAAATATTTCAAATTTTCTGGCCTACAAAAAATGTCTTTTGTTGGATTTTATTCTTTGGTTGCGTCACAATAAATAAGAAAAATGTGAATGAACCATTAAATATTCTCTTTAAGGGGCCTAATTAGACAACAGGAAACATTGAAGAAAATAGGCACCATGTTTTGGTTCTTTCTCATGAAGTATTTGATCTTTTTTAAAACACATGGTCACTAAAATGAAAGAGAGAAGGATAAAAACATTAATATAATAGATTTCTATGTTGCATTCATGCATGTTAATGATATTCTATTTTATGTTTGCATGACATTAATGTTACATTTATCCATAAACACTACTAGATCATCAGCATATTTAATTGTGTTAGTGTTTTTTTTCTGTTAAAAGAATTCTGCTAATAACCTAAATTAAAAAGTAAACTGCTTTTTCTCTTCGCATTGCTTCCTTTGTGTGAAATACTTAGTGATCCTGCCAGTTACCCAGCTTTCCTATGTCATTTATGTGTGCTGACATGTACCCCTGCAAAGTTCCTTACTGGGAAGATCAATGTACAGCTGTTCCTTTGTCTTGTGCTGTCACACCCTGCAGAATGCCCCTCCTCCACCTCTCCAAGCTCCTTATGCAGCAGAAAACCAAGATTATGCGATCACTCTCTCTCTCTCTCTCTCTCTCTCTCTCTCTATATATACGATATACACTGTATACACACAAGTGTTTGCCTTTAATTTCTATTTTAAACTGAGTAGGTTGATATACTGTATACTTTAAGACACATACTGCACCAGAAGGATCATGCCATCACCCTCTCAAGGTTAGACAAGTAGTTTTTCTCCAACTTTTTTCCCAACAGGTGTGTTTTGTAACACACATCAGGTGATGATTTGTAAAGGGGATAGAGGCCTTTTAGTGTATATGCCTTTCAGTGCAAAGTCCACTATAAGTATTTGGAATGCATCAATTGATTCAGAAATTACTAGAATCTGGCAAGTCTCATCTTCGTAAGTAAATCACAGTGCCAAGTAAAATACAGGCCTCCCCATTTATATAGTTGAAAAACAAATATTCATGATTATCAATCTAAATTTACTTTGGGGGAAATATATAGTATAGAAGCTAGTAAACAGAAATATTCAAATCAAACCATTAAATCTATTTTATTAGTTTACCTGAAGAAAGTCTAGCCCAAATAGGGGAATATTCAACAAAACATAGGGAATACACACATATTAAAAGAGCTTGTACAAAAGACATGCAAATAGACCCAGTAAATGGCCATATCAACACATGTAAAATATATCAGAGTGTAGTGTATTTGTGATACACAGTTCCCATTGAAAAAACACACTGCCAGCCATGTTGATATTCAAGAGAAAAAAGCATTGTTTAATAAAATGTTTTATAAGGGTAAGTAGTGTATTCGAAAAGTACAGTATGATAACTGAGTTAAGGCAAGGCATAGATTAATCGATTTTCTTTCCTTCCACCACAGGTTTCCCACACAATTATTACTACTAGTGCCAATAGCATTGGGCAGTAATCAAATGCTAGAAATCTGACAGGCTGGTTGTACCAAATTCGATTGATGGATTGACTTGGATACAATCAGCCTGCCCATAGATGGATTGAATCTCTGCCGTCTCAGCAGAGACCAGCAGAGATTCAATCCATTTATGACCAGCTTAAGGCCTTGTTACACTGGTTAGATCAAATGCACTTATAGCCCAAGGTAAGTGAATTTTTGATAATATCCAAAAGGATTAAAGATTATGTACTTCAAATCCACTTATACACAAATATTTGCATGCAGAGCATCAAATGATGAAACATTACTATTTGCCATTGTAATCTTTATAGTCAAACAAAATGCAGAGTAACATAAAATGCATTCATACAGAGATAAATATCATATAGACTTTGAAAGAGATCCAATGAAATGTATAGAATACATTATATAATACCTTGATAGGTTCATATTAATCTATTTCAGGATCCCCATGGGTAGCTGGATAAAATAGTGACTTTCAGTGATGTTGGAAAAATTACAGTCATCAATGATTATTTATGCTGATGGATACCATTCCATGTAATATTGAAATAGCTATTTACACCTCAGACCAACAAAGCACATATTCCAGATGAATGAAAAAAATGCTGTAATCCGTGTCATAGAAAATATAAGATTTTAAATTGAAAAGAGTCCAACAGCATTAAATGATGCCTATATATTTCCACATTTTTTTCTGAATTGCAGTTGGCTGTAAGATTTATTTGAAACTGTATCCTCTACTTCACAAACACACGAGACTGAATCATACAAAAGAAATACAAATCTTCTCTACAGCCCGATCTTCTCCACAGCACTGAACTTCTGAAACTGCATGGGTTAAAGGGATTCTAAAGGCAATTTTTAAAAAAATAACAAACATGTTATACTTACCAAGCAGCCATGATCCTCTTCTTCTAGGGTCCTGTGTCGGCTCTCCTGGCTCCTTTACCCTGCTGAGTGCCCCATAACAAGTTGGTTGGTTTTGGGGAACTTATGCTTGTTCTCTCCTGACCCGGCTATGTGTACTGTTTGACACACAGAGCATGGCCCCACCCCCAGCTGTCTCCACACTGCCTGTGATTGACAGCAGCAGGAGCCAACGGCTCTCTGTCCAATAAGAAGGGAGAGAGCTGAGAGAGCTGCTGTTCTTGTGCACATTAAATGGATCAAGATCAGACTAAGGTAAGTATTTGGGGGGTGGCTGAGGGGCTGTATACTGAAGGTTTTTTTTAACCGTAACTCATAGAATGCATTAAGGTAAAACATGTGTACCTTTACTGCCACTTCAACTTCTTTGGGTCTAAGATTGCAGCACCTTGATTCACAAAACTCCTTGTATTGTCTTCACAGGTAACACGTTCCGTGACTGGGGGGAGGTAGATGAATGACAGGATCCCCTCCCACACTCACAGAATAGAAGGATCCCCTCCCCCATTCACATATAGTGATCCTGATGTTAAATCCAACAATAAGGATATATTGAAAAAATTGTAAGAGGTTGCAGATGTGCTAAAAACTGGTGTTGTCTTTGTGTTTAGCAAGGCCAAAAGAGTGGCCAAATTGTGTGTTCATTTTGAAGAATGATCTCCACCAGTGAAAGCTACTGTTTGTAAACATGTTTGATAATGTAAATCATTACCATGCTTGTTCTAGTTATTCTTTCTCTTTTTATTTGTATTTCCTGTGAATTATTGCCCTTGAGAGCTTGGCTCTGAACTTTCAGATTTATAGTTTTGTGAAGAATAACCATAAAATCTTGTTTACAAATATCTTCCTAACAGGTCCCGAGCCACCCTATAGCAGAAATACTGCTACAGGGTGGCATGGGTGCACAAAATTACGTATATATATATATACATGATTTTGCAGTTCCGCGTAGGGGGCACGTGCGCGCCCTACCCATACCACCATTCACTGCCTCAGCTGTCAATCACTGAGTCCAGGATGGTGATTAATCGCCGGCACCCGTTGATCGCCAAGTATCTCCGATGGGGGAGAGATCTGTATGTAAACAATACAGATGTCTCCCCTGTCAGCTCCTGCACACTGCTTTGTATGGCTCTGCTATGCAGAGCCATACAAAGCAGTGTGCTTGCAGTGGAAAGCACTCTCACAGCATACTTAGAAACAGCACACAGTACACAGTTAACCCTTTGATCACCCCACATGTAAACCCCTTCCTGCCCAGTGCCATTAGTACAGTGTCAGTGCTTTTTATTAGCACTGATTACTGTATTGATGTCACTGGGGATGTCAGTGACACCAAGTCAATTCCCCCCAGTGTCAAAATGCCCACCGCAGTCCCACTATAAGTCGCTGATCACCGCCATTACTAGTAAAAAAAAAATAAAATCCAGTATCTATACCACCATTTGTAAATGCTATAACTTTCGCGTAAACCAATTATATTACATGTATTTGGATTTTTTTCTTTGCAAAGACATGTAGCAGAATACATTTTGGCCTAAATTTATGATAAAATTTTATTTTTATAATTTTTTTTCTGGACATGTTTAATAGCAAAAAGTAAAAAATATAGTTTTTTTTCTCAAAATTGTCGGTATTTTTTGTTTATAGCGCAAAAAATAAAAAACTTACAGGTGATCAAATACCACTGAAAGAAATCTCAATTTGTGGGAAACAATAAAGGAGATGAATTTCATTTGGGTGCAATGTTGCATGACCGCACAATAGTCAGTTAAAGTAACACAGCTCCGTATCACAAAAAATGGCCTGGTCAGGAAGGGCGGTAAATCCTCTGGAGGGAAAGTGGCTAATTAGTCCCTAAAATGGATCTTCACCCTCCAAAACTGTATCCCTCCCCTCCACCCCTACTCAGGTCCTTTACATGAATAGCAAGCTTCTTTTTTTCTTTATTAACTTTTTTTTAGAAATTGTCAGCCTTGCCCCCCCTGCGCACATCATTCACCTAAGTGAATGGCGTGTATTTTGCTCCCTGGGATATGCACATCATATATGCTAGGAGAAATAACCTTTCATTCAGGAAAGGAGGAGGGGGTGGGCCTATCGTCACGTCATCAGGAGGCGCGTCGGATGAAACCAGAGCAGCTGGCAGCCTATCACAGCAAAATATGGCAGCACAGCATCGAACACTGCCAGAAGAGAATGGGATCTCAGCTGGACAGCGCTGGATCCAATGGTTGAGTCTTTCAAATGTGCTGAATACACCAACAGGTAAGTTGGGGTTTAAAAACACAAATTATGGGGGGGGTGAAAATCTGTTTTAGGAAATGCTTTCCAAAATTCTTATATTATAAAAACCTCTGCATTTGTACTATTTCCATTGGCTATATACTGAATGGTCTGTTCTCTTTCTCATCTACTTATATTTGTTGAATCCTTTAATTATAATGTTTAGATCCCGGAAGGATTATGCAAAAAGGGGATTTTTATTATAGAATTGTAAATTTGAAAAACATTTTTTGCATTTGCTTATCAATTTGCAAAATTCATTGCCAATGGCAACGCATCAAAATGTCAACATTTGACTAGATCAGTTCTCCAGTTTATACTCCCACTGGTGTTTAAAAGAATAATGAATTTGTGCTTTGTGGGAAAATGTATGTCTGTAACACAATGTATTTGAAAAAAAAAAAAACAGATTTAATATGTTTCACTATTTGTTTTTTATCTAAATCTTTTAGTGAGGTATCTTAATTTTTGACACAAAAGTCCCAGTCTATACATGAAACCACCAGAGAAGGGAGAAGAAAAAGGTTTTTTGTTCAGCTATATGTATGCAGATTCACATAGTCTGCAGTGAATCCTACACTTCATGAATTCAGGAAATGGCGATTCATAAAATGCTTGATTCCTCACAAACTGGACAAGCTGCATGGTAGTATTAACACACAAATCCAACCCCCCTCCACCCCAAAAAAAAAAAAACAGCAAGTTTGCAGAATTGTTTGCTCTTCTCTGTAAGCATGTTTATGTTAAACATCCAATGCAGTGAGTGACAATACAAACATCAGTTATTTCATATTTTGCATAGACCTTCACATCAGAGTCACATCAAAGCTGTTGATACTGAAGACAGATTTTGTATACAAAGCTTCCCTATAGTGTATGTGTATATATAGTCTTCAAGTAAATACTGACACTGAGAAAAATGACAGTGTTAGAAAGTCCATTAGGTCAATGTGTATTGATCTCCAGAAACATTTTCTCCTTAAACCTTTGTGCAATTAACACTACTCATTTTTCATATTAGTATTTTAAAATTAATCAGCACATTATTTATTTTACTATTCTGTTTTTCTCTTTGGTAAAAAATGTATTTAATCAAGCATCCCTATGTCCTTCACAGGAATAGTGTGTATTTTGCAGTATTATTTGCTAAACACTGCCACCCGATGGAAGAGTTGGAGTTTTACAGATTGGTTTTAAAATAAAGGATCTGCACTGCATTCTTTTCAAATATTCAGGAGATCATTTTGTTTGTCCTTAGAGAATGCATAATACAACCCTGTCAGGGGTTAAGAATATCCAAACAGCAATACTAAGAAAAAGAATCAGGTTTATACACTGCTCAAAAACATTAAAGAAACACTTTTTAATCAGAGTATAGCATCAAGTCAATTAAACTACTGGAATATTGATCTGGTCAGTTAAGTAGCAGAGGGGGTTGTTAATCAGTTTTAGTTGCTTTGGTGTTAATGAAATTAACAACAGGTGCACTAGATGGACAACAATGAGATGACCCTCAAAACAGGAATGCTTTTACAGGTGGAGACCACTGACATTTTTTCACCTACTCATCTTCTCTGACTGTTTTTCACTAGTTTTGCATTTGGCTAGGGTCAGTGTCACTACTGGTAGCATGATGCAATACCTGGACCCTACACAGTTTGCAAAGGCAGTCCAACTCCTCCAGGATGGCATATCAATACGTGCCATAGCCAGAAGGTTTGTGTCTCCCAGCACAGTCTCAAGAGCATGGAGCTGGACAGGGCTGTAGAAAGTCCTTAGCTCATCAGCAGGACCGGTATCTGCTCCTTTGTTCAAGGAGAAATAGGATGAGCACTGCCAGAACCCTACAAAATGACCTCCAGCAGGCCACTGGTGTGAATGTCTCTGACCAAACAATCAGAAACAGACTTCATGAGGGTGGCCTGAGGGCCCAACATCCTCTAGTGGGCCCTGTGCTCACTTCCCAGCAGCACAGAGCTCGATTGCCATTTGTCACTGAACTCCAGAATTTAGAGGTCCGCCACTAATGCCCTGTACTTTTCACAGATGAGAACAGGTTCACCCTGAGCACATGTGACAGATGTGAAAGGGTCTAGAGAAGCCATGGAGATTGTTATGCTGCCTGTAACATTGTTCAGCATGACTGTTTTGGTGGTGGGTCAGTGATGGTCTGGGGAGGCATATCCATGGAGGAACGCACAGACCTCTACAGTCTAGACAATGGCACCCTGACTGCCATTAGGTATCATGATGAAATCCTTGGACCATTGTCAGATGCTATGCTAGTGCAGTGGGTCCTGGGTTCCTCCTGGTGCATGACAATGCCCGGCCTCATGTGGCGAGAGTATGCAGGCATTTCCTGGAGGCTGAAGGAATTGATACCATTAAATGGCCCCCACACTCACCTGAACTAAATCCATTAGAATACCTCTGGGATATCATGTTTTGGTCCATCAGATACCGCCAGGTTGCACCTCAGACTCTCCAGGAGCTCAGTGATACCCTAATCCAGATCTGGAAGGAAATACCCCAGGACACCATCTATCGTCTCATTAGGAACATGCCCTGATGTTGTCAGGCATGCATACAAGCACGTAGGGGCTATACAAACTACCGAATACCATTTTGGGTTGCTGCAGTGAAATTTCAGCAAAATAGACTAGCCTGCTGCATGTTTTTTTCACTTTGATTTTGGGGGTGTCTTTTGAATTCAGTCCTCTGTAGGTTGATAATTTTAATGTCCATCAAACGATGGGGCATCCTTACGTTCCTAACACATTACCCAGTCCATATCACTATAGATATCCAGCATGATATTTTTCCCCATTGAGATCTGATGTGTTTTCAGAGTGTTCCTTTAATTGTTTTGAGCAGTGTATTTCCTGTAGTATCTAGTTTCCTCAAATTGTGGTCTTTTGCAGAGCCTTGTGTGCCAATTCTAGTTGAATAGTGTGCTCCACTGCCAACTACTCAAGTTTCTCCTGCTGACCCTTAGGCACTGCAGGATACAGTGTGGCAGAGGTCAGTGGGAGAAACCACAATGTCCAGAGAAGAATGTGCTATTCCATGTAACCAGAAGTGTGGAATAGAATGGATGTATTAAACTCTGCAAGAGAGTTAAAGAATATGTAAACCCAATATTTCATATTCTTGATCTGTCTGCTGTACCATGCACTTGTATGAAAAAGTTTTCTGTTCACTTTGTATTGCCAATCCTTCTGCTTTCCTATTAAAATCCGACTGCACTAGGCAAGAGAATGCACCGTGGTGAGTTCTCTAGCTTTGCTGGGATCTCAGCCTGCTTTCCTACAATAATTAGAATTCTGCTGACACAGCCCTTCACTGGGAAGATCAGTGTACTGCTGTTTCTCCTCCCCCGGCTACTATGCAGCTGAGAACAGCAATCATTTATGAAAAAGGGAAAAAAATATTTATAATGTTTTTAATACCTATACACAAATGTTTTGTCTTTCATTTTTAGTTTAAACTGAATGAGTTGTCTTACAAGGTGAGTGTTTACAATAATAATAGGGTTCACCATACTGTCTTCCACGCAGGTAAACAAAAAACCTGCTTCTATCCCACAGTATTGCTATTTGCATCCTTTTAAACTCTGCCATGGTCGCTTTAAAGGGCCACTTCACCTATGTATAGCATAAGCAGTCATATATGCAGAATATAATTTGGTTTTACTGTATATATTTTTTAACATTTTAGAATATTATGTACAGTGGGCCAGCTGTGAGCATTGCAGCACGGTAATGATCCTTAAACTTGTAAAGAAATGTCCAGTGATATAGAAAACATATAAGCCAAAAGGTCTACTTAGTATCTGGCTATGTTGGGTGACCATAGTTACTGGTGCTGCTGTAGCATAAATTACATCAGTAGGAAAAAGTATACAAGAATCATACTTCAGCAACAGCTTAGCAACTGAATCACTGTGGGACATACCAAACTTCAGCAAAGTTATTCAACCAATGTGCTCTGTGTGCAGTCAGTCACCTGGTAAGCAAGTAACTGAAAAAATGGATCCATCATTCTGTGGGGCACCACACTGGGAGGAAAATCGTTCATGATTGCATGGCAATCCGCCTATAAAAATAATTGAAAGTGTCCCATTTTCATAGAATATTTCGAACAGTTTAGAGGTATACAGGGGTTACTAGGGAAAGAGAAATGCATGACAGGGTGTTGG